AAAATTATGTGCAATATTATATATAATATAATATATAATATTATAACTTTATGTAATATATGTATAATTTTTAATTATTATTTTTATTATTTCAATTATTATATATATAATTTTCATTCGCGAATTTACATATTTAATTATTCTGAATTTAATCTCAATTCAAAGTCCTTATAATATTTTCCTTATTTTTTCCACAAATTTCCTGGACAATCGAACAAACTAGTCAGATATTATCAATTAATTCCAAGTCAAAGTGGAGTAAAAATTTCATCCCATAACTCAAGTTCATGAAAGTAAATCTTCATCATCTTCCGAAGTAAGTAATTACTTACACAGAACTTTGCACATTTAATTTCCGTACACCTTAACAAGACCCATAAATTTCCTTGGTGATTCCACAAATTATCGCGTATTACCAGTTAATCCGAAAACGTAGTCGAATAAAAATCTGCTCGTTAAGTCGTTAAATCGCCGCCATCTTCCGAAGTATAACCCTTACAGGGGCGGAAACTTAGCCGAAGTTCGGCAAACACCGTCACTATTAACCCTCCATATGCTCGATCCCATGATCGCGAAAGACGAAAAGCCTGAAAACGATCGAAATTCAGCCGGCGACATTACGCTTTCAGCGCGGTACACTCGGCGAGGCCGAGCGAAAAGTGTAGTCTATTTTGAAATGCAAAGGTTTTTTTTAAAACGCGGCAAGTAAATGGGGTAGTTTGCACTCGAAATATGTTGCGAGCATTCGGTCACGAGTGAACACATGGCCATACCTAGCAGGCTGGAATCATGTAAAGGATCAAAGCGACGAATTGCATCGGGAATGAGAGCGATTTTCTTTGTACCGGAACACTTAAGTCAGCCGCCATTGAAAATCGTTCTCCTGACTTTCGATGATCGTTATCGACACTTTCCTCGCGTTATCGTTCCTCCACCCGTGTTTGTCGAGCGACTTCGAGTCAATTTTGGGACGAGATTCGATTTCATCTTGCCAAGTTAACTTGCTGAGAAAAGAGTGGTCTTTACGTGTTTCATAATTTCGAGGTAATGGGTGTCTTTTTTCTATTAAAAAATTAATGCATATCGGGACATACGTAAGGAGGTGCTTTTCTTTTCTATCTCGGACTAAATTGTTTTTCTAAAAACTTCGAATTTTTATTTTTCTTGTCGTTGAAATTGGAATTTCATTGGCTCTGATTTTATTTTATTTCTTGAATTCTTTGGTTAGTATGTTTTAAATAAAATTCCTAAGAAGTAAAAATTCCTAAGAAAATGTCTTCTCTATCCTGACCTAAAGGATTGTTTTCTTAAAATTTTTGAATTTTTGTTCTCTTCTTGAAATTAGAATTTTCTTGGGTCTAATTTTATGTTAATTCTGAATTTTTCGTTTGGTATATTTTAAATAAAATTCCTTGGAAGTGAAAATTTTTATGAAAATGACCTCTCAATCTTGGAGTAAAGGATTATTTCTCTAAAAATTTTGAATTCTTATTCTCTTGTTAAAATTGGAATTTTATTTTATTTTTTGAATTAATCGTTTGGCATATTTTAAATAAAATTCCTAGGAAGTAAAAATTCCTAAGGAAATGTCTTCTTTATTTCTAAAGGATTGTTTTCCTAAAAATTTTGAATTCTTATTCTCTTGTTGAAATCAGAATTTTATTTTATTTCTTAAATTCTTTGTTTAGTATATTCTTAATAAAATTTTAAAGAAAATTTCGTATTTTCACATGCATGTGTAAATTCTTTGCATTAAATTTATGCAAGAATGCGTAAGAATAACAACTCTATATCGTATTAGGAAATCTTGTTTTCCTTACAGCATAAAGATCATAAGAAAAAATTAAGTAATGGTAAAATGAGGCATATTTGAGTTGGTCATTTGTTTCTCATTAACCTAATACTGTTATCGATATGTTAGAATGTCCGCAATTAGTGAAAAGTATGATTAACACGTTCTATGGTGCATGTATCATTCGTGACTTATGACAATTACCAGAGGCAAAATTTTCGTTTGGTAAATAAGGATATTCGACTCGTAGCTCGAATAAAATAAATGTGCGAGTTTCATTCGGTTTTAAAATCATGATAAAAATTATATTTCCTCTTTTTACTTTTCTAATGAAAAATATAAAAAATTGTGACAAATAGAATTTATATAATTTATCAGAATTGCAATAGTTCAAAATATCGAGAATGAATGAGTATTGAAATATAATGAAAAAGAAAACAAAGCGAAATTAACAAAAACAGCCGAATATTCAATTATTATGACAGAAGAATGAGTATTTAATTGGGTTAATAATTATGAGAAATATTAATTTTTCATAATTTTCTTTTAAATTCCTGATATGCAATCTCCTCGCGAAAAACAAACAGCCAGAAACGAGGTAATCATATTTTCTCGGTGTAGTGTTATTTGTAATGCGGTTTCCAACGATATCGTTGGCAAAATATGCTGCACTTATCTCGTAATGTACGCAGAACACAAGTAAAAGAGGATTATTTACACATATTTATGCCATGGTACGATAAGCACGGATTTTGACATGCATTTGTGATTCGTTAAAAACTGGAAATTATTCCAGATATAACGAAGATTATTTAAATCTTCGCTTTTAGACGAATAAACTTAGATGAACTTCTGTCTGCTGTAATCTCTAGATACAGGTATCACGCTATTGAAAAATTAAAGGTGATAAAAATTTATAAACAAAAAGTATTCAATATATATTAATCTGCGTTACTGTAATAAACATTTCGAGAAAAAAGAAAAAAAGAAATATTTCCATCGCATTCGAGGAATTTAAAAACATTAGAAAGGAAAAAGAAAATATTTTCAAAGAAATACATTTCTTTCTTAAAATCGATTGATTTATCGATCCAAAATTTCTCTTAAAAAGAATACTTCACCCCTTTCAGAAATCTTCTATAGACGAAATAATACCATGTGACTCATTTCTAAGAAAATAGTTTTAAAATTGGTGGAAATAAACGTATCAAGGCGTGTCGGGAATTTTACTATCGGTATCAAAGGATACTTAATAAAATACGCGAATGGTGCTCGTTTATCCTGGAATTTCGTTTGGAATTATTATTAGACATTTCATAGATTCCTTCGCGATTCCCTGTTCGTCTATAAATTTTTCGCAGAAACGCCGTGAACGTGAAATAATTTGAATGATTCGCGCAACAGGACTTCCGTTAAAGAGGGTGTCTAGTTGCACTTTCCGTCGACAGATGGCGCTGAACGGGGCTAATTCATACATGTAAGCTACGTATGTACACGTGATAGTTCCACGATACGTCGTTACGATAGGCTTCGAGTCACGGCCGTTCGAAGTGCACGTGAGCCTGAAGTGAACGGGATCTTGTTTCATTCAGAAACTACGAAGCCGCGGTTCTGTTAGCCGGGACTCGAATCTGCACGTATATCGTCAGCCAGTGCCACACGGGACACGTGTTCGTCTTTGACGGATCGAAATGACGCTGCAGGCTATTAAATGGAATAACGGCAAGCTGGAGATACTCGATCAGATACTGTTGCCGGCGCTCGCCCGGTACATCCCTGTCAAAGGCGTGGAGGATGGCTGGAAGGTCATCAATAACATGCAGGTACGATTATCTGTGGACGTATAAAGCGAAACTTCATTTCTCTCACAGTCGAGTTCGTTCGTGTTAAACGTGGCTTGTATACGAGTCTCACTGCAAGAGGTATCCCGGTCCGATGATCCGATTGACGAACAATAAGGAGCATAATGTCAGTTAAATTGCAGTAAAGGAAACTGTGACAATTTGGAACGATTCGTGCAAACAAAATTTTAATTGGAAGAATCAGTTGATTTAAATTGCTTATAGTGCATGTGACAATTGATCATTGTTTTAGCGAAGAGAATTGAAAATGGTTTTGCATGTTGTTGTAGTTAATTTTCTGTGATATTCATAGGTTCGAGGAGCACCGGCTATAGCTATCGTTGGGTGTCTGAGTTTGGCTACGGAGATTGGGAATGAAGAATATATGGACAAGAAGAGTCTTCGACGGGATGTCGAGGGCAAATTGAATTACTTGGTCTCTGCTCGACCAACTGCTGTTAATATGAAAATAGCAGCAGATGAATTAATTTACTTAGTCAATAAACTTAGTAAAGATGAGACTGTTAATGTGACAGAAATGAAAGGAAGGTATAAGGATTGATTTCACTTGAATAGATTAGTTTATTTCCTATGTCGTTACTATTAATGATAATTCTTGTAGATTTATCGAAACCATAGAAGCCATGTTGGAAAAGGATATTGCAGATAACAAAGCCATTGGAGACTTTGGAGCTGAGGAAATTCTGAAGAACATGTCTGGAGACAATTTTGTTAGGATTTTGACACATTGTAATACTGGCAGCCTTGCAACTGCAGGTTACGGCACAGCTTTAGGCGTAATTAGATCCCTTCATAAGAAAAATAGTCTTGGTAATGTTTACATGTCCCTAGTTTTCACGCATGAGACAGAATTCGATAAAGTTATATAGTACTAATTACTTTTACAGAACACGTATATTGTTCAGAAACAAGGCCATATAATCAAGGAGCACGACTGACTGCATACGAATTAGTTTATGAAAAAATTCCTGCTACCCTTATTTGCGATGATATGGTGGCAGCACTGATGAAATCAAGAAATATCTCTGCGGTTGTTGTTGGTGCAGATAGGGTTGCTATGAATGGTGATACAGCTAATAAAATTGGAACTTATCAAGTAATACATACGACACTCATTTTAATTGCTATCCTTGCAACGTTTATCGTTACTTTAATTATTTTTCATATTTTACAGATTGCCATAGTCGCTAAATATCACAATGTTCCTTTCTACGTGGCGGCCCCACGAACCTCTATAGACTTTAATATTCCTCGTGGTGATCATATTGTTATCGAAGAAAGGCCAGAAAGGGAAATGACGCATATAAATGACCAACGGATCGCGGCACCTGGAATACAATGCTGGAATCCTGCTTTTGACGTAACTCCGAGTAGTCTCATTACCGGATTTATTACGGAATTTGGAGTATTCAGACCCGAAGACTTGATAGAAATATGTACCTATTGATTACATACGAAAAAGCTTCTGGATGTATTAATATGAACGAATTAATCGGTGATTTCGATGTTAACGAAAAATTGTTGCCACGTCTTGTTTATTTAAAAACTTGGTGTTACAATAAAATTGTTAGCAGGTTACGCTTATTTAAACACGTTAAGCCTGATGGACGCAGCAAAATGTACCGTGAATATACATGTTTGCGTTTAAAAATGCCTTATTAACTTTGCTGTGATTTTTACAAATGTATTTATAGTGATGAATATCTCGAACAAATAGTTGTATTGATATTTAACAAAAGAAAAATAATATTGATCATACGAATCATAAATATTAAATACAAAAAAACATTTCTAATTGTTTCTAGGATTTTAGTTTTCCCGAGTGTCACCAGATGGCGCGAACAGCTAAAATTTGACAATACGGTGCACGGACCGGCAGTCTTCGATTTTCACAGCGCATAAACAACTTAATTTTATCGTAAAATGAGTTTTATATACCGATTACGAAACGATTTTACATACGGAATACGAGAACCAAGATATATTTAATTATATATTATAAAATATAAAGTTACCTTCGAATAAAACAAAATTTCGTAGAATCTCAACTTGAATTGCGTCGCATTTAGAATTATATCTCTTCGTTCGTAATTTATTAATTTTTCAAAAATTCACACATTTCCCGAAAAAAGTGACTATTTCTTGCAAATATTCGAAGGAACATAAGTAAACACTAACAAAGTGAGTGAAATAATTACTTTATGCCATCGAGGGAAGCCATGGTGTATCGTAGCAATCGATTCCTGCTATAATCGATAGGTATCGCGGATGTCAGTTGTGTGGCTTCTTGGCGCGTTTTCTTGTAGACGTGCTCGAACTTGACTAGACGCGAAACGCGATTTTAAACGGAAACACCGGACGAAGCCGAACCGAAGCGAATAGTGGTTTCAATCGAACGTGATTTACGACGAATATTTATCACGGGAGTGAACGACGAATTCGACACGACCACGACGCGTGCAGTTCCTTCAGGAAAACTTGGGGATCTATTTTCGCCGTTGAAAGGCGCGCGGGAACGCGTTCGCGGCGGGTTTCTCGAACCGCGGTGCTTTAGTACGGCCAGTCTCTCCGCTTCGTGCAGAACTTCGTCGATCCCGGAATAGTTTCGTCGGTTGCTCGTTGAAGTTTTTCGCGCGGCCGTTGCACGGGCCAATTTGCAGTCGTTTCGAGCGTGTTCGTTCACGAATCCCACGTCGCTTGGCGTACATAACCCTCCCCCGCGACACCAGCGTGTGAGTCGAGCGACGATCGAAGTATCGATAACAGGTTTCAAATTTCTCTCGAACGGTTCGTTCGTTGACACGATCGTTCAACCTGGAAGCTGATACGGAGAACGCGGGGATGGATGCCACGGACGTCCTCAGTCCTGACGCCCCGTCGGCGAACGATGAGGATGTTTTGAACAACGACAACGATAATGGCAACAACAACGAGGACGAGCAGGCGCCCACCGTCGAGGAGAGTTACGAGGTCACCACTACGAAGCGAAAGACCGTTCGGACCAGCTACAAGATCCAAGAAGTAAGTGACGACATGTATAAGTGACACGTGCGATTACGGCAACTAAAGTTCGTCACTGGCGCCCCTATGTGGACGTTTATTACAAACGTTCCGTCGTGCTCTCTCTCGGTTGCCTTAACTCTCGGATTATCGTTACTCGCTCTAGCTTCCGCGACTTTCGCCATTGTCGCAACGAAATAGATGGCGGTGTATCGATAAACATATAATCTACAGGATAACCTGTGGAACGCGTCGATGATGCGCTGAGACTTAAGGCGGTTTTTTTGAGAGTACGTTTCGTATACGCTAAAAATAAACGCAGAGACTTCTGTTCGACGATGTCTGCTCGAGAATTTCGGTTCATTCTGAGATTCGTCAAGGATAAACGGACTTATTTCGATCCGCGGATTTTGGTGCGATTTACCAACTTTATTTGGCGCGTAACTTTATTCGGTTGCGTTCAGGGGCGGGCATTGTGCCCACGGCACCACCGACAATGAATAAACCGTACGCGAAAGCAGGATTCCAAAGCTTTCTTTGGCACCTGCCAACTCAACTTTTCTTAACAGGTATTCTCCAAGAAAATTTCAACTGATTTTCATGCTACGGTGCCCGTTAAAATTGTCTCTTCTCAAGTATTTTATTTTCAGGGATATTAATGGTACTTGTTGATTATTTAGGGATTAAGGTTAGCCAAGTCACGTGCAATTAACTTTACTGTTTACTAGTTACATAATGAATAAAGATAGAAGATATTGTCGAACGTGGGCGGATCAGAGGCGCCATAAATTGAGTAGTTATGAAATGCATAGGTTAGGTTATGACGAATTAAACGGTTTCCTAATTTTAGTGGACAATTAATAATGCAATTTTTTCTTTTTCTTGCGTAATTGTCTTTCACTGATACTTTGCTATTTATATTCCTCGAAAAATAAAAGATAGGGTGATAAATACGAGTAGAGCTATAAAAACAGCAAAATAAATGGAGCTGTCGTTCTAAACCGATAATTCGCAAATCTAGCACATTAATTGCACAAACGATCGCCATAAAGTTGATTAGTATAGATTAAACAAAATTAGCCATTTCTTTTATTCGACGTTTCTGCGATATGATCTAAACGCTATTTTAATGTCATATAAATTTTCCCTTAATAAATTTTCCACGAGTTTGGTCATGCAAGTATTCAACGAGCTTTTTAGCAAATATTCGATATTTTTAAATATTTTTACATATTTCGAATCGTCGTGGCATTGAAGTGTCTTTCCGTTATTCGACATTATAATGCACAATTTGTAAAGAAAGATACGCGCATAGTGGACATGAAATTTCCATTTGTAAAAATGGTTCCTGCAATTGTATCGTTTTTATTATACTTGTTAACGCGTTTGGCTAAAAGGCAGCGATATTCGAGAATTTAACGCGACAGTAATACTGTTAGAGATTCTATAAATTTCGGTCGTTATTCGACAACATTTGGAACGATTCGGGATTTCATTGCACGTGATGATAGGATTCAAACCTAACTCCGTTTACCAGGGGCTAACACATAAAATCGGCGGACCGGGGAAAGTATAAACTTAAATTCCAAACCGAACGTAAACTGCACCCAATTTACATACGATCCATTTTTGATTTCTACTTGAAATTTAATCTAGATATATTAGTTAACATAGTATTAATTGCAATTCGTCAATTAGATCAAATTCAAAGGCCATATTTTATTTAGTCCAATCGAGATTTAAAGTAGAGTTGGAGAAAATTAGAAATTAATTTTTATAAATATTATTATCGAATTTGAGAAGAATTTGATGGGATTTGAAAGTGTATTTCATTATTTTCTTTATTTTTTACTGTTATTTTCTTTTTTAAATTTAATTGTACTTTAATTTAAAAATTCCACGTTTATTTCCTCGACCAGTATTAATTGGAATTCGTCAATTAGATCAAATTCAAAGGCCATATTTTATTTAGTCCAATCGAAATTTAGAGTAGGGTTGGAGAAAATTAGAAATTAATTTTTATAAATATTATTATCGAATTTGAGAAGAATTTGATGGGATTTAAGAGTGTATTTTAATTATATATAAATAAATTATACCTAAATTAAATACCTAAAATACTCCAAAATTAATTATACCACTACATTACCTACGACCATAAAATTCCTAATTTTTTCTATTCCCTCCTATTTTATTTCTTCTCGCTTTCAAATTCCTTTTCATTCATTCTCAAAGACATTTCTCCAATGTCACCGCTCATAAAATAAATCAAAATTTCCCTCGTTTCGTTCTATCCAACTATTTCGACTATCATCCACCAGCAATCACCCCAAATTTTCATCAACTTTTCCACCCAAGAAATTAATTACTCCGCAATCATCGACAACCCTGCAGCTACTCCCAACTTTCGAACCCAGCTTATGCAAATCGAACGACCGACATCGATGATGGAAAAAGAAACCTCGTTGTCATACGTTCACCGAGATAAGATGCACAGTAGTAAGACACGAGGTTTTTCGCGAAAGCGTCGCTGGCCGAGGAAAATCTTGAGCGGAAAAGCGAAAATAGAAACGAACGTCTCGCGGATAAAGCGTTGCGCGCGATTCATGAAACTTCGCGGAGCGTCTTTCTTTTCCGGTTGCAGCGCTGGAGGGGCGACTTCCGGCAAGTTGGCCGATCCGTCCGGGCATCTAGAGGACAAAGGGGAAGTTCGGGCACGAAATTAAATCGGCGCGACGAAGCGACAGGCCGCGACGCGGAATAAGAAAGATTAGTCGGGCGGCGTTTAATGCAAAATGAGCGGACAACGGGCGCGATTTACTCAGATTCTACGTCATTGTCGGTACGACGCGACGGTTTTAGATCTGGCAACGGACTCGCCTCGAACGACGAAGAAGGGGCGCGACGTAAATCCGGCCGATGAATGCCCGGCGAACGTTTCTTCGCGATTGGGACTTCCGATTCACGATAATCGTCTTCTGTTTCATGCCGATTCCGCCATGCTTTCCCCCTATTCCCGGGGATGCCCCCTTTCGTCGCTGTAGCAGCGAACATTTGTTTATCCGTCACTTGTTTATTGTATTGGGTCTCCTTTTGAATTCTTTTCATTTTTCCTTTTTTTTTTTTTAATTATAAATTGTTTCGTGTTAACTGTTGATTATTGAGGGCCTTACACTTTTCATAGTGGATGTTTGTTGTTTCTCTTTTAATTTATGGGTGCTTGTTGTTACGTGGATGTTGCTCGTTTTATGTAGTTTTTATTAGTGTTCGAGATTGTAAATGGAGCTAATTCTTTGTGCACCCTTGGTTCGGGTGGTGAGGATGTGTGAGGAAGGTTGTGGGATATTGATCGACAAGGTAGTATTATGGGATTTCTTTCACATTCGCGGTTGGAACGTGTACAAAGGAAATGAAGTGTGTAGATATTGGTATGAAAGCATTGAATTTATTTAGTTATTTAGTTATTTAGATAGCTAATACGTTGTTTAAATAGAACGTATGAAATGGTAAATAATAAGTAAAAATGGAAGAAAAATGAAAATTGGTTAACCTAATTGTAGTTAAAATTTGATTTACAAAATGCAGATTATGGAATTCTCTCGTGTTATTTGTTTAAATAAATATAATGTGTATATACATTATCGAATAAGTCTAACGTGTATAGTAAATGTTTCGTGGAATATCTCCATCTTTCGTTGCTGTAGTCAAATTTGTTTATTCGTGAATGTACTGAGACTATTTTTACATGGTGAAAGTATATAAAGAATGTTCATGTGAATATAGAGCTGCAATAAAATATGACACTTCTTTTACGTGGTTAAAGCCTATGGTGTATAAGAAAATTGCGCAAAGAACTCTTTAAATAGAAAGAATTTAAAAGTGAATTATCAAACAAATTATCGTTATTAGTTATCCTTCATTATCCAAATAAAGTAATTAATAAATTTAAAACAGATGATAAAGTAAAATAAAATAAATAACATTTTGATAATAATAATTTTCAAACTCGGGAATAAATCTTGTTAAAAGACTCATATGATTTTAAAATTGCATGAAAGGAGTCTCAGGTATATTCTTAAATTATTTATTCCAATTAATAATAATTAATTTTAAAATATCGTAAGAGCTATTTAAATGTACCATATACATATAATAATCTAAGTGGTTTAATAAAGATAAATAGGCTTATAAATACACGTTTCTATTTAAAACTAAATTAGCTATATACATTTTTAATATAATTAAAAAAATAAAATTCGCAAAATTATCGTTAATCTTAATATTAAAACGCTAGTTACATACGAAACTACATTTCGGAAAGAAATTCTCTTACCTCTCTCTCTCTCCGAATAATTTATTTCACAGAGGCAAATAAACGGGCATAAACCGAAACATGTTCTTTCTCGGTATTCCCAACAGCCAAAACAATTATTAGAAAACTTACATCCTCCGTTACACTTTACTAAATCTTCAGCTTCCACCATTTTCTCGCGCGCCGTCTTTCCCTTCCCGGAAAGGAACTAAATTTCGCCTCTGTTTGAAGATCCACTTTCCAAACAAGAATATAAAGAGCCCTTCGCTCTGGCAGTAAATTTTCTTTCAAAATTCAAAATTCTCTCTCCGCACCCGAAACGTATATTTATCTACTTAAACCTTGGGGAATATCTCGCGGAAAATTCACGTGATATCGGTCGATTAAGTCGGCCATTTTGAACATATGCTCGCAGCGACGGTATCGAGGAAATATCCGAGAAGACAAAGAGACGACATTCGGACAATATAGTCTTCGATACTGCTCGAGTTCAGCTTTGGAGATCTTCCTGTCGATCTCCAGAAAAATAATGATCGATTGAACGGTGAGGGATTCGCGAGCCTCGCCGCGTAAATATTTATTTAATTAAAATCCGTGGTCGCGGTCCGGACCGGAATCGCTGGGCGGATTTCAATAATAACTCGCGTCGGATCGGTTAGGCTTGGCAAGAGGATAATTTCAGCCGGCTGTCTCTGTCGGCCGGACCGGA